CAGAGATTTGGGTCCATAGCTTGCTACTTGAGGTAAGGGAAAGTTGAAGGAGTAGTGTGTGCTCCCACCCTGATACCCCTGATCCCATGATCCGTGTGTTTCCAGCGATGGCACAGGCTTTTAATTCGGTTAATGTGAGTGTTGGGTCCCAGAGTGCTCTGGGCAGTGGTGGAATGGATGACAAACAGCTCCATGATTGGCTACCTGACAGAAAGGATTCCTGAGCTTGGAAGATGATGAAAGTTCTGTTGTGGTGACAGGAGAAAAAATGTGCTGCCAGGTTGAAAACCAAATTCATTTGTTTCTTACCAATGTATCTGCTCTTCTCTGACCTTCTACTCGTTTCTTTGTTGTGCTTTTCCACCGTGCTTGTCATCCTGATAGGTAGTTGATCACATACGCCTAATGACATGGACCATTGAGGTCATGGGAGGTGGCAGGGGTCACCTGGGATAAGATGGGGGCTAAGTGGCAAGATGGCATGCTGCCCGCATCTGCCTGGTTCTGCTGTGTCTGCGCTGGAGGACCCGTTCTGAGTGTGCGGGGTGGAGAGTGCGCACAGCTGTGTGCCCTGGGCTGTCCCATAGGAGGCTCATTCCAAATGAGGTGTTTTGTCTTTGTTTTTGAATGACCCCAGCAACCAAATGCCTCCTTAGCCTGTCATCATAGGAATCAGGGAGGGAAACACCCATTTGTCTCCCCCCACAACCACCCTTGCCTCACTATTCTTTTTCAGAAAAAGAAGCACCGGAAGCACAAACACAAAGGCAAGCAAAAGAATAAAAAATCAGAGAAGAGTAGTAGTTCTGAGAATACGGACAGCAGCGACAGCCAGAGTGATGAAGAGGGGCCTGCAGACCTGTCACCCCAGGAACTGCTCAGAAGGTAGGGAGTGGGGTATGGTGGTTTTCAGAAACCCTCCAGAGGCTTGTTGGAATCTTGATGTAGTTGCTGAGAGGCAGATGTCAGAAATGATAAATTTGTATATTGACTAGGCTTTTTAGAAGTTCACTTTTTACTTACACAAGTAATATGTGAATATATTATCATTGTGAAAATTCAAACCTTACAGATAAAGCTTCAAGTGGTCCTCGAGCAGTTTCCCAAACCTCTCTCTCTAGCAACCTCTGCCGTCAGCTTCATGTATAACTTTCAAGACTTTTTTGTTCAGTCTTTCTCATAAACACATACACACACACACACAACATATGTACACACGTTTTGTTGCTGCACATTTTTAAAATAAATAATACAATTTTATGTAGCATAAATCTATGGACTATGAACATGTAGAATGAAGAAATACTGCCAAATTATTTCTGGAAGTGTCTGTATCCATTTTACCTTGTTACTACATCAATTACAAACAATTCAGAAATGTTTGCCAGCACGATGGGCCTTCGAAGAATGGCATCTCACTTTTAATTTGTATTTCTGGGACTAGTAATGAGGTTGAGTGGCTGGAGGACAGCCTTTGCCCATGTGCTCACTTCTGAGTAGCTTGCTCACATTCTTTGCACAGGGTTCTGTTTTCTGTTACGTTGTTTTACTTGTTTCAGTCAAGTAAGGTAGTATTTTGCTGATTTTTAGGAATTAAAAAAGGATAATTCTGGATATGAATCCCTTGTGGTTTAGTGTGTTACCTATCATGTGACTTTTAATTATCTTTGTTGTACAGAAGCTCTAATTTTTGGTGCCCTCAGTTTTACCAATGGTTGGGGGTGGTATGTTTTATAATTTTGTCTCCTAAAGGTCTTCCCTAACCCAAGAGTTTATATATGTTTATGAGCTATTCTGCTTTTATAGTTTTGTTTTTGTTTAATCTGTTTGGATTTTTTGGTTTTGTTTTTTGTGAACAGAGTGGGGTAGGCCTCTAGCTTACCTTTCTCCAAATGGATAGCTAGTTGTATTAGTCAGGGGAGTGAACTAGCTCCATGAAGCTCCCCACATCCCCACAGTGGAGCATAAAGAAAACCAGGGTACTGCCCTGCTGGCTCAGTCGGTAGAGCACGCGACTCTTGATCTCAGGGTTGTGAGTTTGAGCCCCACGTTGGGTGTAGAGAGTACTTAAAATAAATTAATATTTTAAATTAATTAAAATGAATAAATTAATTAATTAGAAAAAAGAAAAGAAAACCAAGAAAGGTACTCAGGACCCCAGTTTGTTCTGCTTCAGTGCACGGACCTCCTAGGAGGGGATGGGTGGAGGGTGGCATTGGGGGTGGTTGTGGTCCTGCCTGGATATCACGGTCTTCACTGCTGCATGGCCTGGTCACCACGGGGCTGGGAAAGGGAAGTCCAGCTGCGGGCTCAGGATGAAGGGGGAGAGGCGGGAGTGAGCACTCCATGTCAGCCCTATGCGCCGAACCGGCTCATTAAAGGTAGAGTAGCTTGGTCGTGTCCTCAGTCCCTGTGCGGGCCTGCTCCTCCATTCTCCACTCTGGTTTCTTTCTTTCTTTTTATTTATTTATTTTTTTGAGAAAGAGAGCGTGAGAGAGCATGAGCAGGGGGAGGAGCAGAGGGAGAGGGAGAAGCTGACTCCCCACTGAGCATGGACCCCAATGCAGGGCTCAATCCCAGGACCCCAGGATCATGACCTGAGCTGAAGGCAGACACTTAACCCACTGAGCCACTCAGGTGCTCCTCTTCTCTGGTTTCTTAGCCATTTGGTACTGTTCTGTCCACGCTGTTTTAATTACTCTGACCTCGTAAGCATATCTTGCCATCTGGAAATACAAGTGCCACCCATTATTCTTTTCCATTTACTTCTTCAGAATGGACAATACATTTCATGATTTCATGATTCAAAAATACAAAAGAGATGAGCATTTCAGTTTCATCCCGAGCCTCCTGAAGTGGCTGTGCCCACTCCTGTTTCCCTGTCCTCCTGCACACCAGTATGATGGGGGGGGCAGGGGAGGAGCACACCTCAGGCATGGCTCATATCATCCACATGCACCCCTGTGAGGCAGACACCTGGGCCCACCCCCGTCTTCATAGGTGGGACAGGGAAGTTAGGTCACGTGGCCAGGCCCACGGAACCTCACCAACACCTGAGGCCCTCACCCTTGAGCATTTGGGGCCATCTGATGAGTCATTCCTGCAGGGGAAGCCCATCAGTGCCCATCTGGAGGGCATGGTGGGAGGGCCGGAGCAGGGGCTTGCTGTGGGCACCGTGCAGCAGTCGGAAAACATGGGCACACAGCTCTGCACTGATTGGATCTAAAACTTACCATCAAGAGACCCAAGGCTGCAGAACAGTGTATACAGGTGGTGCTGTTGATATTAAAATGTTGTCCTCAGGCCTTTGGGTTTCCCTGCGTGCACACGCATGTACATCCTTGCCTAGGAAGAGGGCTGGAGGGGTTCTTACACCCCTGAGAGCATCTCTCTCCAAGGAAGGGAGGGGCAGAAGTGTGAAGTGCATTTATCTGACCCTTGTGGTTGCTACAGGTGTAGTCCCCACTGCTCCTCACCCCAAGCTCCTAGGTTCTCCCCTGGGAGCCTGGAGGGCCCTCCATCCTCTGTGTCTCGCTCCCCTCTGTGCATTGCCTGTCTGCACCCATCTTCTAGGAGGGGTGGCAGGAGGCTCACGACCACCGGGGCTCGTTTGCATTCCCAGCACCTGGCTTGGAGTGTCACTCTTGGTAAGGGCCCTGGTACTTCTCTTCTGGGACCGTGCAGTTTGGTTCTGGTGGAATCGCAGTCGGCTGCCTCCACCCCCTTCCCCCGAGACACCGGTCTACTTCCTGTTTCTATCAGTTTGTCTTGCCCATTCTAGAATTTCATAGACATAGAATCATATGGTTTAGTAAACGCTATAGTGCACACACATACTTATATGCGCACAGACCATAAGCTTCCAGCTGCGTGCATTATCGCTGCCTGATCAAGGGATACCCCAGCACCCCACAGCCACTCGTGTCTCCTCCCACTTAGCATGCCTGCCCCCATTCCCACAGGTAACCCCTCTGCTGGCCTCTGTCACCATTGATTAGTGCTTGGACTTGGAGAAGGACTCTCGCCTTGGCCACATGATTCTGGCAGCAGCAGCTGGCTCGCCCTCATTGCTGTGGAGTAACCCTTTATGGGACCACAGAGTATTCATCTCTTCCATTGTTGGGGACATCTGGTTTTCCACTTTGGGGCTGTTGAGCAAGGATCTAGAGGCAGTGTGGCCCAGCTCTACTCGATGAATGCCCTTGTGTCCGTGAAGCCGAGATTTAAGACTGTCAGCTTAGGAGCTTTTGGCCCTGGAACAAACATGTTTGTTTTGTTTTGTTTTCAGTTGCTTCCCAGCAGTCCTACATGAGATAGGTGAAACCAGGATTAGAACTTGCTTTTATAAACAGGTCCTAATATGAAGTGTGGGGTGTGAGTCTCCCTGTGTGTTCTGGGGGCAACAGAGAAGCATATTAAGAAGGCAGATTAAATGATGCTTTCATAGTTTGCGGTCATCCTCTGTGTTCTGTGGGTATACGTGTGCCACTGGGACTTGGGGAGGTCTGGCATGCTCGGCTCCCACGGAGATGTCTGGCTTTCCAGTTCTTACCTAATTGTCCTTCTTTCTCCTTTATTTCCTTTTCCAGGCTGAAAAGTCTTCCGCTAAGGAGGCAGTAATTGAATTCTACCCTGGCCTGTCCCAGTCCCAGGTCTCCTCCATGATGGAAGCTCATCGACTGCTCGCTTAATACATTGTACAGATTGTATTTATATGTAAATTCATGCTGTAAAATAATTTTTAAAACCTTGACATTTCAAAGCCTGCCTTGGAAGGTTGCAGAAATTGATTTCTATTTTTAACTTCAGTTAGTGTCAGAGGAAATAATTCAGACTGTACAGTTTAATTAAAATGGAATTTTTCTATTTTCTTCTTGATTTTTTATTTCCTGAAACTTTTAAAAAGAAATGAAAAGTGAAAGGTTTTCTCTGATTTTGCGCATGAAGAAAGCCGAGTCCAGATAAGCACAGTTGGACTTAATTAAGGACTTATAAGAGAGAAGGACGTGGTTGTTTCCCCATTCCTCAGGCACCGGGCTCCTGCCTCTCCTCGTGCATGGTGGTGGCCAGGAGCCCAATGGGCGGTCCAGTGCCAGGATCCTTGCAGGTGGCCTCAGCCTTTTAGGGTGGATGTCACCAAAGTGTCCCAGTCTCCGAGACCAAGCACCAGAGAGTGTGCACCCACAACCCAGGTCACACAGGCTCCAGGTCCTTGCCCTGCAGCCCTGGGTCCCCTCTCAGGAGCTGCCTCATCATCACTGATGAGACCTTGAGAAAAGTTGCAGGGGTTCAAAGTGACAGCATAGAAAGATCAGAAGGATTTCCAAAGTAGAAAGAAGGAAGAAAACCGCTTCTACTTCTACCATCCAGAGATGATAACCTTTAGTATTTGGGAATATCCACCTTTTTTTTTTTTTTTTTTAAGATTTTATTTATTAGAGAGAGAGCTACAGAGGGAGAGGGAGAAGCAGGCTCCCCGCTGAGCAGGGAGCCCGACTGGGGACTCATCCCAGGACCCTGGGATCAGGACCAGAGCGGAAGGCAGAGGCTTAACCAACTCAGCCACCCAAGCGACCCCCACCCAGTCTTTTTCTATCGGTGGGGCTGCTACCCGACTAGAGGTGACATTTGTTCTCTGTCATTGACATTGTGACAGATACTTCATGCTCTTATATATCGTGTGTCCCCACTCCCAACAGCTGCATCTGAATTCATCCAGGGCCCATTCTGTAAGTCAGTGACCATTTCTCTGTTGACAAGAGTGGGTTGGCCAGGAGCCCCTGCACAGGCAGAGGGCACACAGAAATCGTCCCGGGAGAGGGAGCCAGGAAGACCCAAAAGGAGGCTGCAGGGATGGGGCTGCTGGTTTCGCCCGCTTGGCCTCAGTTCTTTTGTGTCCAGGCTCAAGCCCCGTTTTCCTGGGAGTAAGCGCGCCCCACGTGGAGCGGAGGCAGGGAGATCGCAGCGCCGGAGGAGGGCACGTCAGTTCCCGGAATTGGCCGCAGGGCGCAGGCGCGCGGGGCCACCGTTCGCGGCGGGGCCCGGGTGCTGGGTGCCCGCCACCGTTCGCGGCCCGGCCCGGGTGCTGGGTGCCGGCCACCAGCAGGCCAGGCTCCGAGATGGCCTCCCAGGCGCCGTCCGCCCCCTGCTCCCCAGAATGCCTGGACGAGGACGGGAAGACAGTGTCCCAGCTGCATAGCGTGCAGCTGCCCTCGGTCCTCTCCAGCGACCTTGAGCAACTGTTCCATAAACTGCCCGGCACGGCTCTGATCAGGGCCTATGGCCGCTTCAAGCTGTCGACGTTGGAGGCACGCCAGGACGGGCTGCTGGCTCCCTGTGACCCGCTGGAGGTCAGCAGGGACTCGCCACCACCCCAGGAGCACCCGAAGCCTGAGAAGAAGTTCTGGGGCGACCAGGAAACCGTCTCCAAGGTCAGACTACGGGGGTGGGGTGAGGAACGCAGACTTGAACCCCGTACGTGGGGAGGTCGCAGTGAAAGGGCTAAGGAGAGCCGTGGGGAGCCACTTGGTTTTGCCAGCCCGCCCCTCCCCCCCGTGAAGCCCCTGGGCTGCTGTCTCTGGGAAAACAAGGCTGTCCTGGGGGAGGAGAGTGTTTCAAAGTGGGGGATCCTGACCCCACCCAGACTGTGATTTCTGGCCGAGCCTCCCAAACGTCCCCATGGTGACATCCCCAAGTGCATACCCCAGGGTCAGTGAAGGAGCCCTCCGTACCTATGAAACAGTTTGCTCCAGAAACAACAGAAAAACTAGAAGGATGAAAAGAAAAACAAAAAAACACAAAACAACGCCCCCCTCCCCCAAAAAACCCTATCAACACTACTTTGTTTTCTCTGTGATACTTGAGAGACGTTGCATTAAAACAAAGGCTGGTGACCAGGAGTAGGAAATAATCTGTGAACAGAGAGAATTCCTGGGGATGAAGAAGGATTTCCTAACCAAAATCCTCCATGGAGGCTTTAAAATCAGAGCAGAGAACTGAAGCAAAATTAGAATACAAAGCTCATGGGATACTCTGAGACCCAAAGAACAAATATAAAGGATCGATGACCGTGAGAGAAAAGGTAATGTGTGCCTGAGAGATCCAGAAGAGCCCATCTATACAGAGGAGGTGTTGGAGAGGAAGAGGAAGCAGGGGGAGGAAAGAAAGATAGAGAAGGAACCAGGGAAGACAGTCTCTCTGGGCTGAGGAAGACGGTGGTGCTCCCTTGGAAAGAGCCAGTCCAGTTCAGTGCAAGATTGCAGGCAAATATAGCCCATCTTTAGTGAATGCCTGAGTTGCAAGGGTAGGAGCAAGGTGTGCATACAGACCACGGATGGAAAAGCCTGCGATCAGCTTGAGATGCTTGACTTCCTGGCCAGCCCTCAGAACACCTGGGAGCAGAGCCCACAGCGAGGATTGCTGATTGGCTCTGTGATCTCTTCCAGAAAAGTGTGTGTCAGCGCTTTTAGTCATATCTATTCCGATTTTTTTTTAAGTAAAAAAAAATTTTTTTAAAGGTTTTATTTATTCATTTGAGACACAGAGATAGAGAGCATGAGCAGGGGGAGAAGCAGAGGGAGAGGGAGAAGCAGTTTCCCCACTGAGCCAGGAGCCCAACATGGGGCTCGATCCCAGAACCCTGGGATCATGACCTGAGCCGAAGGCTCAGCAGTTTCATGGGTACGGAGGGCTCCTTCACTGACCCTGGGGTATGCTTAACCATCTGAGCTACCCAGGCGCCCCTGATTTTTTTTAAAGTAAAATTAAAGGAGAGCACAGAAATTTTCAATAGAACATCCCCAAGATTCAAATTCAATAGATTTAAAATGTTCTGCTTTTTTTTAAATAGGTCTCCCTAGCATAGCAACCTTGTCCCCCCATTTCTTCTCTACAGAGGCAAAAAATGTTTCTAGTTTCTTCTGTAGTTTTACAGAGATAAATTATGCATTTCCCAGCACATACATGTATATATCCCCCCTTTTTTTTACACAAATGGAAGCATACCTTAGACCCCTTATGCACCTAGTTTTAAATTTTTTACTTAGCATATTTTAGAGAGCTTTTCATATCATAAAGAAGCAACTTCCTTGTTCTTTTTTACCGGTAGTATCCCACTGGCTGGCCATCTTCTGGTGACTTTAACCAGTCTCCTGTGGATGCACATTCAGGTGGCTTATGATTTTTTTTGACCTAAAGTTTTTATGACCCATGAAGATGACAGAAGTTGAGAAGGTCTGTAACTTCTCCCAGAGGAAAGTTTCTGACCTAAGAATTCTCTACCTGCCCAAACTGCTGATCCCCAACAAAGGCAACAGAAAGACATTTTCTTCAGACCTGCAAAGACTCAGAAATGATGCTTCTCTATGAGCACAAAGTTACTCAGGGGAGCACTCCAGCAAACAGAAAAAAAGAAAAAAAAAAAAAAATCTCCCTCTGCCCCCCCCCAGCTTTCTCCCTCGCTCTCTCAAATAAATAAATAAAATCTTAAAAAAAAATCCAAATGAAGCACTTCAGTAAAACAAAGAGCGGTTTAGAATAAACAGAGGGGACCAATGACTGAAAACAATACACTCTGGTTAACGTCGTTGTGTAGCTCAGTGAAAATGTTAACAAATGATCTTTTAAAATGAAGGTGCGGGCGCCTGGGTGGCTCAGTCGTTAAGCGGCTGCCTTCGGCTGGGGTCATGATCCCAGAGTCCTGGGATCGAGCCCCACATCGAGCCCCACATCGAGCCCCACATCGAGCCCCACATCGAGCCCCACATCGGGCTCCCTGCTCAGCGGGAAGCCTGCTTCTCCCTCTCCCATTCTCCCTGCTTGTGTTCCTGCTCTCACTGTCTCTGTCTCTGTCAAATAAATAAATAAATAAAATCTTAAAATAATAAATAAAAAATAAAATGAAGGTGCACAATGCAAAACTAATCATGTTCCAGATGATTTCATTGAAGTCTTTGAGATGGTTTGTTAAAGCACATTCTCAAGAGATAATGTTTCATTCCTGGTGTTTATTTAATGCACACTCACACAGGGATGTGTCACAATATTTTAAAAATAATTGGCTCAAGACCCCCCTTCCCCCCACACCAGTCTCGACCCGTGGCTTCCGGGCGCATTTAAGATGAAGTCCAGAGATCTGACCATGACTTTCCGGGCCATTTCGCAAATGGCTCATCTCGCTGTTGTCCCCCTTCCCTGTGACCTGCGGACATCCAGCTCGTACCGCCCCCGCCCCGGGAAGGGCGCCCCGCGGCCCAGGGCGCATGCGCAGCAGCCCGCTCACTTGCCTCTGGCCCTGAGCTGGCCCTGCGTGCTGGCTGTCGGGCCGCCGCGCACCACCTCCGCCGGCCGGCGGGGGCAGGAGCCTGTTCAGCCCCCGCCCCGCGCACGCGCACGGGGACTCTCGCTCCCCGCTTGGGGTCTTTGCCCCTCGGTTCCGGCCAGCCCTGCAGCACCTAGATCAAGGCCTGACGAGTCTATGACATATTTATTGATCAAGGGAAGGAACGCTATATATATATATATATATATATATATATATATATATATATATATATATATATATATATATATATATATATATATATAAAAGAACTGATTTTTGCTTGTTGTTTTTACAAAAATTGGACTGTCCTCTATATGCCATTTTTGTTAGTGCCTCCAAAGACGTCTCTGTGTATTTGGAACGTCTCTCCGCAGCGCCTCGGGGTCCCTTTCCCTAATGAACCCCAAAGTACTATGCCCAGAAAAAACTCGGAACGGGCGTCCCCAGAAAGGATGATGGGGTTGAGGGATACGCCCCCGCACCCCCCGTTCCTGCTGGTCTGTTTGGCCATAATTAAGCTCTGTTTTTGCCAGGCGAGAACAAAGACCAAGGAGTTTGGCCTGGAGACCGAGGCAGCTGCAGAATGGGGAGCTGGGGGCGTCTCGGGCACCCACGACAGAAGGGGTAGCGTCCCGGGGAGGCGGCTGGTTCCCCAGGGCTGCTGGATGCCCCGGGGCCCGCCGCCCGCCAGGCTTGCCTACCTCCCCTGGTGGCCGGGACCCCGGGCGGGGTGGCCGATTCCTTGTCCTACCTCTCCGCGCTCCCAGGAGGCGGAGAATGCCTCCTTCCCCGCATGCCCACACCCCTGCGCTCCCCCCCCACCCCCACGCAACCCCGGTCCTCACACCTCCCCTCATCCCTGTACCTACTGCTGAGCCTGCCTCACTCTAGCCTGGTCCCCCCATCCAGAGTCCCTGCACCTCTGCACTCCCTGGGGCAGTGCCCCAAACCCTGGTTGCTGTGTCCCGCATGCCCTCGCGTTCTTCACACTCCCACAGCAGGGCATCCCCACATCCCCGACACACACCCCAGCCTGACACACATCCCCTGCACGCCATAGGGGGGTGGGTGGGTGGGTGGGTAGTAGACCATTTCAGCCTTGCTCCTTCTATCCCCCTCCCTTTTAAAAGTATTGCTTTATTGAGGTGTAATTCACATATCATACAATTCACCCATATAAAGTCTGGGGTTTAGCGCATTCGCAGAGATCTGCAACTAGCGACACATCACTGTAGAACATTTCATCGTCTGGAAAAGAAGCCCCATATTCATTAGCAGTCAGTCCCCATTTCTCCTCAAGCGATCCTCCCAGCTCTAGCCAACCACTGATTTGGTCTGTCCCTATAAAGTTGCTTATTCTAGACCTTTCCTAGAAAGAGAATCAAACAGCATGTGGTCTTTTGTGACTGGCTCCTTTTCCTTAGTATAATGTTTTCGAGGTTCATCCATGTTGCAGGATGTACTAGTACTTCATTTATTTAAAAGTACATATATATGCATATAATAAATACATGTTATATGTATTATAAATAGACTTTAGAGCAGTTTTCGGTTCACAGCAAAGCTGAGCAGAAGATGGAGAGATTTCTTGTATATCCCCTACCTCCACACATGCATGGCCTTATTATCAACACGCTCCACTAAATTAAATATTTAAAACAATTGCTGATCCTACAAGGATACCCAAAGTCCTCAGTTTCACTCTGCGTGTTGTACATTGTATGGCTTTGGACAAATGTATACTGACAGTCATTATGTTATCATGCAGAGTAGTTGCATTGTCCTAAAAGTCCTCTGTGCTCTGCCTGTACTCTCTCCAAACCTCCCAACCCCTGGTAACCACTGATCTCTTTACTGTCTTTATAGTTTCCAGAATGCCATCTATCTGGATGCATACAGTATGTGGTCTTTTCAGACTGGCTTCTTTCACTGGTAATTTCATTAGTAATCTGAAATCTACTAATGAATGTACTGAGTCTACTAAATCTTTCATTAGTAATGTGAATTTAAGTTTCCTGGATGTTTTTTTTCATGACTCATGTGTCTTTTCATGGCTTGGTAGCTCATTTACTTTTAGCACTGAATAATATCCCATTATTTGGATGTACC